GCTTCTCAGAGAAGCTCCCCATGACCAGCACCCAGTACAGCAACGCCATGAAAAAAATGGCTCAAAAATTCAGTGTTTGAGGTGAGGAAAGGTCCAAAACCAACCAGCAGAACGTGCTCCAACCTTTTCTTTCCGAGTCTTTGGTCCCCAGAGCTGAAACCAGCCCCGTCCCAGTCCCAGGCCGTGCTCTCACCAACTAACCCAAACCATCTGCAACCCTCAAACCAACAGATGTTGTTCCCCCCACCCTGACTCACACACAGGCACCAGCAAAGCTCCCAGCTCCCCCTTTCCTTGGTTTTCCAGCTCCCTGGCTCATTTTCAGAACTGCTGCTGAGCTCCAGAGGCAACAGGCTCCCAGCAGGCAGGTTTTGGGGAGAAAAACGTGGCTCACCTGGAATTTAAGCAACGTGTTGTGCCAGTAACCAAAGGGGAAGTTGGCAGGGAGGATCAGCCCAGGTATGTCCCAGGTGCTTGGGATACCTCAGGACTGGGATAAACATCCTGCTGCCTCTCCATCCTAACGGTGCCCACAGCAGAAAACACCTGGAACGAACAGGAGCCCAGGGCAGGGATCAAACTTCTTCACCAACAACAAGAAAATTCCCCAAAATAGAAGTTTTGGAAGGTTCCAAAGCCATTCAGGAAGCAGGGCCAAATTTGACTTCAGCCAAAATGGAGAAAATAATTAGAAAAACATTGAAACGTGTCAGTTTTTAGTTGTTGTTCTTATTTTTTTAATCTTTTTTTTTTTTTTTTCCCCACACAAACTAAAGCATTTTACTTCGGAAATGATGAAACATTTCAGTCCCAGCAGGATCTCGGAGCCTTTTGTCCCGGCGAAACGGGGAGTGTTTATTGGGTTTGTCACTTTACTGACTGACTTAAATGTCAGGAGGAAACCTCAGTGTTGCCTTTTTGGTGTAAAAATAAAAATTAAAAGGGCACCAAAAAAAAAAAAAGACAAGAAAAAAAAAAAGAAAAGATTTTTATCTGGTGGAACAGGGAATTAGGAGAGGCCAGCTAAAGGGCCACTTTTCCTGCCCAGATCCTTAATTCCCAACAGGCTGAGCCATGGGGGATTAGCCAACCTGCAGGGTGACCTGAGGTGACAGGAGAGGCCAGAAGAGAAGGTTCCTTTTGGGACACAGAGTGGCCCTGGAAGGAGCAATGATGAAGGTTGAGATGCCCCTCAGAGCTCCCAGAATGGAGCACCAGGGTCTTCTCCCTGCTCCCATGCCCAGGGCACTGGGAAAAGCCACATCCTGCCTCTTCCATCAGCAGAGCAGCCCCTGCCAAGGAATCCGCCCCTCCCAGGACTGGGACCTTGGGCTGCCTCTAATTTTAGGGTCTGATGAAAAGATCTGGGGTCTCCTCCAAGCTCTCCTAACAAAGGGCTGAGGGGCCACAGCCAAGAGACTCGGGATCTCACGGTGCTCCCACCACTCCCCCGTGAGCCCAGATGTCCCTGCTCCTCGTTTCCCTGCCCACATACCACGCTGGCTCCGCAGATCCAAGGATTTGCCTCCACGGTTCATCATCCCGGTTCTGGGAGCGATCCGATATCCGCAGCAGGCCCTGAGCTCCGGGCCACTTCCAGCTCGGCCCAAACCCACAGGCCTTGCCCGGATAACGCCCTTTCACTCCTCCAAGCACTAAGTCAGCTCTTAAACCAGCCAGGAGGGAACTTTGCAGCGGGAAAGACCTTTCCAAACTCCGTGACACAATCGCCAGCCCAAAGCCCGGCCCGGCCGTTTACAAGCACTTGAGGTGCACACCCCCATTCCAAAGGGTCCCCAGCACAGGTTTTCTTGGAGCAGACGTGGCTTTCAGGGGCTTGGTGTGTGGGGTATGGAGACCTCAGTGTGTCCAGATGAACCCCTCAGCTGCTGGGAGGAGGCAGGGCTGGTGATTACAGGGAGGGAATTGGGAACTGGGACGTGAAACCAGAGAGAGGGGAAACGTTTAGGCTTTAATCTTGGAAACAGCTTCCTGATAGGAGATTTATGAGTGCTGGGAATAGTCTCCTTTGCAGAAGGCTGGAAGCTGTGTTGCTAAAACAAGACCGGATAAAAGAGGAGAGACAACACATGAGGAATGGATTTGGGTTTGGGCAGAAGATGGATAAGGCCCAGAGGTTCAATTCCATCACTTGCAGCTCCAGACAGTCCCACACCATCCAACCCCACACCTGCCTCCGGGGACATTCACCCTTTTGCACCATTAAGCAGCAGAGGCTGTCAGAACATTCTGACAGCATCCGGAGCAGTGCGAGCAGCCCAAACCTCTCTCCCCGTGGCAGCCGTGGAGCTGCTCCTGGGGGTCCCACAGGACCCTCATTTTTCGGCTGACACGGGGTGTAGTAGCCAGATCCAGGGGCTCAGCACATCCAGCTTTTGTGTGGGAGCCCATGGAAGGGGCAGGGTCATTAATATGTGTGTCTTGTTTAGCTTGGACCTTGCAGCAGCTGAACTCTTCCTGACTTAGTTCTCCCTGTATCCATATCCCACTTTCCTGTAATCGACCTTTCCCTTTTTCCTGAGTTGGCCTTTCCCAGTGAGTTCTTGGTTTTCTTTAAAGCTGCTTTAGTGGTGCTGGAGGATGTGGAAGTGACAGCTTTGGCCATCCAAGCTCTGTATTGACCCCTGAAAACCATCCAGCTCCAGCACTGCAGGCAGGAGCTTCACCACTCCTCGTTCCCCCGGCCCCACTTCCAACCTCAGCACGACCTGAAGGGGTGAAAAGGTAAAGGAGACAAGAGCAGCACCTCTCCATCCCTACCAGAGAGTCATGGAATGGTTTGGGCTGGAAGGGATCTCAAAGATCATCCTATTCCACCCCCTGCCATGGGCTGGGCCACCTTCCACTAGACCAAGTTGCTCCAAGCCCTGTCCAACCTGGCTTGGAAAAGGGTCTGTTGGGAAGCTTGTCCAAGGCTCAGCCTCATAAAACCACCAAGCCATGCCCTGAGAAGGGATCAGATGCTAAAGTCTGAGCTCAGCTGAGTGCAGCAAGCCCAAAGCACTCTGACTTCAGCCTTAACTGCCCCACAAAAACATCAGTGAAATCATTTCATTAATCCCCAGAGCCTCATTTCCTTCCTTCCTCCCCTCAGCCAAGATGAAGCCTTAAAATAGCATTCTGCATTCCTCATCTCTCACTCCAAAACTAATTAACACCCAATCAGCCAAGAGCTCTTCTCACAGCAGCCTGGCTCCATCGTGCAACCTGCCCACCCTTGGCAGCAGCACGAGCACCCACAGGGCTCCCAGCTCATCCCAGAAGACATTTCCGACGGAGCATCGGGAGAGAACTGCGCTAAACCAGCAGAAAACAGGAAAACACCAGAACTGAAGCTCCACACGCTCTCCCACCTCCATCCCACATGCACACACAACTCTTCAGTGCCCAGAAACAATCAATTCCCTGATGCCACGGTCGCTCTTCACCACCTTCCAGCAGACCTTAAATTAGGGCAAAACCCCCACAAGTTACCCTCTGCCTCCTCGTTGGTACCTGCACCACGAGCCCCCTAGAAACAAAGGGGTCGGTTTTTATTTGGCTACAAAAGCCCCTTGGATCCAGTGCAGGGCGTGGGACGGGAAAGATGGAGCACAGCTCCGGCTTCACTTGGATTTCACAGCCATTCCTCGGAAGCCCAGGCCAAGCGTGAGTCAAACGGGGCTGTGCCGGTGACGGAGCCCAAGCTGGAAAGGGAACGTCATCCAGGAGGGCTCCAAACACGTCACCCGTGAGACATCAACCCCCTCACTACAGGATCTTCCTCGCTCGAGGCTCACACACGTCAGGCACTGGGATGAGGCACTGGGGGCTGGCTGCAGGGATTACGGGGCAAGGAGGGGATGTAAAAGGGTGTCCCGAACGTGGGGAAGATGTGGCAGCCACGAGGAGAGGGAGAAAAGGCCAAACGCGCCACACTCGACACGTTCGTTCGGTTTTCAGCCCAAACTTCCACCCACAGAGCGAGCGCAAAGGCAACGCCAGCCCTCGCCCACGGCGTGAGCACAGACTGGTTCATGGAACCACCAGGAATGTGTGGCTGCACCTCAGAGAGGAGCGGGTTTTGTGTGTCAGGGGACAGCTCTGGTCCCCAGAGACAAGGTGGGCTCGTCTCCCGGCCCCGCCGTCCGTGGTGGGAAGGTGTGATGGCAGCGGTTCTGCCCACGGAAAGACAAAGCCTTCCTGCGCCTCAGCTGGGCTGAGTTTGGAAATGCTTCCAAAGGGTAACATGGAAAATCCTGTGGCTGGAGCAGCCCAGAATCTCTGCCCATGGGACAGCTCGAGGCAGGTTTATGGCTCTGTGCAAGAGCTGGTTCATCCCCTCAGCCCAGGCTCAGCCCCGAGCAGCCAAGCTGTGCATTCGCTGCTTAAAAATAACCTCAAATATACAAAAAACCCACACTGAGTGTCCTGCACCTCCGCAGAGCTCCATCCTCTCCCACTGACAGCTGTGAGGAGGTGGGAGAGCCAGACAATCACCGAGAAACAGGGAAATGTTTGAAGGAAAGACTGGTCTGGTTGACGTGGCGGTGTTGGGTCACAGCTTGGACTGGATGACCTCAAAGATCTCTCCCAACCTAATTGATCCTGTGAATCCCCCCTAGTCAGGAGCCCTGTGGGCTTTTCCCTGTCCTTCCAACCATGCCCACAACTCGGGGGGGGAGGGCAGAGCTGAGGGGAACCTCTTTAGCAGGACCCCTCACACCCAGGAGGTGCCGGCGGAGAGAAGCCCTGAGGATGACACCTTTCCCCGGTGCAAGGGCTGCACACCGGCGTCCCTCCCCTGCTCGGGCAGCCCCCTCAAGGTGCCGCAGGCAGCGTCGGAACCCCTCAGAGATGCCCTCAGGGACCCCCTCGTGGAACCCAGCGAAGCCACCAAAACCCACACGCAGCTCCTGCTGCTCTGAGGGGGCCCCGCCTCAGCCGCGCCTTTTATACCGCCCCGCCCCGCCCGTGACGTCATCGCGGCGCGCGGCAGCATGGCCGCGGCGGCGGCGGCGCCCGGAGTGGCGCCGGTTCGAGCCCGGTGAGTGCGGGATCGGGGCTGGCCGGCCCCGCCACGGCCCCCGGGACACCCCCGGCCCCTCCGCCACCCCCCCAGGCACCCCATACCCACCTCCCCGGTACATCCCTGGTCCCTCTGTAGCTCCCCTTGGACGTGCCCGGTCCATCCGTAACCACCCCAGTACATTCGTGGCTCCTCCAAAGCTCCCCCAGTGTGTGCCAGGCTCCTCCATAACGGCACCAGTACGTTCCTGATCCCTCTATAACCTCCTGCCCCATCCCTTTGTAAACTCCTGGTATATTCCCGACCTCTCCATAACCCCCCCAGTACATTCCCATACCCTCCTGCCCCCCATCTCTATGGACACCCCTCTCCCTGCTCCCTGCCTGCCCAGGATGACCCAGGCGCTGCGTTTCCACAGGTTCCTCACTTCCAAGGAGGAATTCCATGCCTTCCTGCAGGCTGGGAGCGAGCCAGGTGGCCAGGTGGGAGATGACGGTGAGGAGGAGAAGGAGGAGGACAAGGAGAAGAAGGAGGAGGAGCAGGTCAGCAGCTGCCAGAGCGAGCCCCCCGCCAAGCGGGTGAGGGCAGAGGACCTCGGCCAGGATGGGGAGAACCAGGAAGGTGCTGGAGCGGAGGAGAAGGAGCGCCTGGAGCGGAAACGGGCCCGGGGGCAGAACAAGAGCAGGCCGTGTATGAAACCCAAGCACTACGAGCAGAGCAGGCTGTGCCCCTCGGTCACACAGGTAGGACATGTGGCCCTGCTCTCAGCTGCGGGCTGGGACAGGTTGGGCCTCCCCTGGGCCGTGCTGCTCCATCCACACCCGAGCCGAGGCCTTTACCCCGCTCCGTGTTCTCCCAAGGGCAGTCCAGGGAAGTGCTTCTTCGGCCCCCGCTGCCGCTTCCTCCACGACGTGGGCGAGTACCTGGCGGGGAAGCCCTCGGACCTGGGCCAGCGCTGCGTCCTCTTCGACACCTTCGGCCGCTGTCCCTACGGGGTCACCTGTCGCTTCGCCCGCGCCCACCTCGGCAACGGCCACCAGAACATCGTCAACGCCGCCCTGGCCCAGCAGTGGGAAGGGAAGCTGCTGGTGAAGAACAACCTCTCCAAGGACCTGCAGCACCGGCTGCGCAAGAGGAAGTTCGTGTTCCAGAAGGCTGAGGAGTATCTGCGTGGGCTCAAGCCCCGCGGAGGGGACGGGAAGGGAGGCAAAGCCACGGGGGAGCAAGAGGCGTCCGACTGCGCGGCTCCCCAGGAGGGGCTGGGGGATGGGGACAGCCACGAGTGCCCTGTGCTGCAGGAACAGGGAGGAGATCCCACAGCAGAGGCCTTGCAGAGCCCCCGAGGGGATGGGGTTGCTCCCTCCATCCCAACCGTGGGCCCGCTGACCGACGAGGACGTCACGAAGCTGCGGCCGTGCGAGAAGAAGAAGGTGAGGGTCCGGTCAAGGGCTGGTGACCCTTGTGTGCTGCTCCAGGGGTGGGGATTGTGGGTGGACAGATGGAAGAGAGGCCCTTTAGGGACACCTTTGAGACCCTTTAGCTGGGGGAGGCAGGCAGAGGACAGAGCTGCCGGGCTCTGTGTTCCTGTCACGACAGGAAGGATGTGGGAACTCGCGGGTCTGGAGCTGGCCTTGGAAGGGTGAGAACCAAGAGAAGCTGCAGCCCCTGGATTTTCCAGGTCCTGGGAAGGAGGGGCTGAGCTGTCAGGGAGGGTGGAAGAGCAAGGAGAGCTGAGACTGGGCTGGGTTGTCCTCCTCACCTGTATCCTTGCTTTCATAAGCCAGTCCCTCTCACCTCCATGTCTGTAATTCCTGTGAGCTCTCTCCAAGCTGAGCAGTGAAAAGAATTTGAGTGGTTTGATTTTCTGCTTCTTTTATCCAAGTGAGATGTTCCCTGGGAACAGTTTGAGGTTCTAAAACCTCTAAAACAAAACCTGGGTTCTTCTGGTTTTCCCACTGGGTTTTACCCAAGGCGAGGGATAAAAACTGGAATATCTTATATATGGAAGAAAAATTCCTCCCAGTGAGGATGGGCAGGGCCCTGGCACAGATTGCCAAGAGAAGCTGTGGCTGCCTCATCCCTGGAAGTGTCCAAGGCCAGGTTGGAGCAACCTGGGATAGAGAAAGGTATCCCTGCCCATGGCAGGAGGTGGCACTGGATGATCCTTAAAGTCCCTCCCAACACAAACCATTCTATTGAGTTCTACAATTCCACGATCTTAACCACTGCTGGCTCAGCTCTGCTGATGTTCCTCCATCCTTGCTTTCCAGCTGGAAATCCAAGGCAAGCTCTACCTGGCTCCACTGACCACGGTAGGGTTGATAACTAATGTCCTTCTGTCAAAATTTTCTGTTACCGTGGTCGGAACGGAGCGGATCTCCTGACGATCCCTGTCCCTGCTGTCCCTGGCAGTGCGGGAACCTCCCTTTCCGACGGATTTGCAAACGCTTCGGAGCAGATGTCACCTGTGGGGAGATGGCTGTGTGCACCAACCTGCTCCAGGGCCAGTCCTCAGAGTGGGCCCTGCTCAAACGCCACCACACCGAGGATATTTTTGGGGTGCAGGTGAGCATTGTCACCTCCATAACCAAACTTCCCAGGAGAAAAGCGGCCCCTGGAGCTCATGGAAGCCTCTTCCCTTTGACAGCTGGAGGGAGCCTTCCCAGACACCATGACCAAGTGTGCAGAGCTCCTGAACAGGACAATTGAGGTGGATTTTGTGGACATCAACGTGGGGTGTCCCATTGACCTGGTCTACAAGAAGGTGAGTTGTGGGGCGTGTTTGGCTTCCTTCCGTGGATCCTTCTCTTTTCCCTTATCCCACACTGCCTGATCTGCTCCTGCCAGGCTGATCCAGAGCTCCCAGTTCATTTATGGGCACTGGGACCTCAGCAAGAAGGTGAATAAGCTGCTCAGGGAGCAGGGAATGGCTGTCGTTTCCTGGCAGAATTTGGGAGGAGAGGGCTGCGGGCTGGTGGGTTTTTTTGTTAAAGAATCCATTTTCTGCAAGCCTTGAGATGCTCCAAGTCTTTCCTGCATTCCCTGAGCAGCTCCAAGGACTCTTTGCTATGCAAGGAAGCGGAAAGTCTTGACTGTGCCACGTTTTGTCCCTCAGGGAGGAGGTTGTGCTCTCATGACTCGCTCCAACAAGTTCGAACAGATTGTCCGCGGGATGAACTCGGTGAGTCGGAGTGCCTGGAGATGATGGAGCTGATGGAGCCACCTCCTGCCTCGGCCTGGCCTCATTCTCCCACTCCTGCAGGTGCTGGACGTCCCCCTGACGGTGAAGATCCGGACTGGAGTGCAAGAAAAGATGAATGTGGCTCACAAAATCATCCCCAAGATCCGAGAGTGGGGAGCATCCATGGTCACGGTACGGGAATGCTCGTGGTGGTGTGAGATTGGGAATTCTGCACGTCAGCCTGGGGACAAGGTGGGGGTGACCTTTCCCTGCCCCACAGCTCAGCAGCTCTTTCAAACCCCTCTGAGCAGATCTGTGCTGCCTTTTAGTGTTCTCTGCTAATCGAAGAGGAAAATTCAGGAGCAGAAAGTGTTTTTCTCGCTGCTCCTGGGCCTTGTATCCATCATCGTGGAATCACAGACTGGTTGCTCCAAGCCCTGTCCCTACCCCACCCTGGGGTGATTCCCTTTGCTGGAGCACATTCCTGCCGTCCTGCCCTGCCTCTGGAGCGAGGCCTGACCGGGATCTCTCCCCCAGCTCCACGGCCGATCCCGGGAGCAGCGGTACACGCGGAGCGCCGACTGGGAATACATCGCCGAGTGCGCCAAGATCGCCAGCCCCATGCCCCTCTTTGGTACGTGGATCTTATCCCCTCACCTGTTTGGTTTGAAATACCTTTAAAAAAAAAGGGGGAAAAAAAAAAGTCCAAACAGATTCCCAGTGATATTTAGCCTGGGGAAAGTTTGGAGCATCGCTGGGCGGAATCACCGGCACCTCTGCCTGTGTTTGGGGATGAGGAGAAGGGACAGGTTGGACTTGAGCCACTTGGGTTTTACCAGGTGCTTTTTGGGCCCTGTGGCACGGACAATCCCCAGACCTTCCAGGTAGGAGCTGGGAGTGGAGGAGAGGAGAGGAGAAGGCTCCTCTTTTCTTTGTGAGGGAAATCATAAACATCCATCACAAACATCCCTGGGAATCTCTGACCTTGGCTCTTTGGTTCTTGGACTCTGTGTCCATTTTTGAATTCTATCCTGTGCCTGGATTAACTCATTTTGACTTGTCCTTATGGATCATTTTGACCTCTGGCTTCTCCTTCCTTTCCGGGCAGGAAATGGGGATATTTTATCTTACGAAGATGCAAATCGAGCCATGGAGATGGGAGTTTCTGGAATCATGATTGCAAGGCAAGTGCCTGTGTTTCCCTTCACTTCTGAGCTTTTGTTGGTTCCAGAGGTTTGTTTTTTTTTAAAAAAAAGGAATTAAAAAAAATCCCCAAACAACCCCAAAACACGAGAAGTTTCCTCTTGTTGGAACTGCTTTGAAAATTGATAAAATCAATTTGTATCTGTGGGAAGCTCCAGCAGCTTCTTGTTGGAGTGGGAGACAAAATTTAAAGCAGAAATGGGCTGGTGAAAAGGGCTGGGAAGTGGCTAAAATCAGCTGGCATCTTCAGGAACATCAATGTGGGATGGGAATAACACTGCCCCTTTTTTTTTTTTTTTTGGCTGCAGGGGGGCACTCATCAAACCGTGGCTTTTCACCGAAATTAAGGAGCAGAGACACTGGGATATCTCCTCTGGGGAGAGGTTTGACATCCTCAAAGACTTCACCAACTACGGCCTCGAGCACTGGGGGTCGGACACTCAGGGAGTGGAGAAAACCAGGAAATTCCTGCTGGAATGGCTCTCTTTCCTGTGCAGGTAACTCTGCCCAGCCAAAACTGGATTGATCCAAGAGGATCTTTGAACAGTGTTTAATTAAATTCCAGCGCTCACTGCCGTTCCATCCCGTCCCAGGTACATTCCAGTTGGATTATTGGAACATCTACCTCAGAGAATTAACGAGCGGCCGCCGTATTACCTGGGGAGGGACTACCTGGAGACACTCATGGCCAGCCAGAACGTGGATGATTGGATTAAAATAAGGTAATCAGAGGTGGAATTTCATTTACATTGCTAAAAAGGGACGTGGCAGAGCCCCTGTAGAGCCACAGGGTGGTGTGACAGCTGTGGGCTGAACACAAACCTCTCCTTGGCTTTGGTTTTGTCATTGTCCTTGTCTTCCTTCCTTGGAAGTGTCCCAAAGCTTGGATGAGGCTTGGAGCAACCTGGGCTAGCGGAAGGGACTGGAACAAAATGATCTTTAAGGTCTCTTGATTGATTCTGTGATTGATTCTTTCTTCCAGTGAGCTGCTCCTGGGCCCTGTCCCCCCCAGCTTCACCTTCCTGCCAAAACACAAGGCCAATTCCTACAGATAGGGCTGACCAGGCCCTTTCCCGTGGCGTGGAGGCAAGAGGAGGCGTTGGGATGGGGTGTCTGGAGGAGCAGGATTCCTCAGCTGCGCTCAGAAGTGAAATAAAGCTGATGTTTTTAGAAGCTGGTGGGTTTTTTGCCTTCCTGCCCCAGGCCTCAGTCCTGGCAGGAGGGATCTTTGTCCTCCAGAGCTGTCCCAGCTCAGCAGGAGGCCTCTGTTCCTACCAGGATGTCCTTGGGAGTGACAGACTCCAAGGACAAGGAGCAGCACTGTTCCCCCTGCCCCCTCTGCTGTCCCCCCACAGCCAGAGGGACCCAGAGCTGATGTTCAGGGGTCCAAAGAGGAGCCCCTCAGAGGTTCCGAGTCTCTTTGGGTGCATGTTGGGGGTCAGCCTGGAGGGTCTCAGCGGCGTCCCCACACCTGGGGACCTGGGTGGCACCAGCAGAGGTGGGAGAGTGGCAGTCCCAGCCCCTGCAGTGCTGTTGATGCCCATCACTGCCACCTCAACGGGGGCATCCCATGGTGACAGATCCCATGGTGACACCCCCCCTCAGCCCCTCTGCAGACCCCAAAGGGACAGGGCAGTGCTTGGGCACCGTGGGGACCCCCTGGAGCAGCCCCGCGTCCCCCTGTCCCCCCTCAATCCCATGGCAGGTGTCATGGCGGCCCCCTGTGGCCCGGTGGGTGTCATGGCGGCGCCCTGTGCCTCGGTAGGTGTCATGGCCGCAGGAACCGGAAGAGCTCTCGTCACGTGACGCGCCCTCTTCCGGGTACGGGCTGTGGCAGCGCCCGGTAGTGGCGGGGGGGGCACTGGGAGAACTGGGGGGAACTGGGGGGGAATTTGGGGCACAGGGAGCCCGGGGGGTGCCCAGGAAGGGGCACTGGGGGCCCGCAGGGGGTACAGGAATAAGTGGGGGGCGCTGGGGTGACGGGGGAAGGGTCCAGGGGGAGGTGTGGGTGGGCTCAGAAGGAGTCACGGGGGGACTGGGAGGGTGTGACGGGGCTGACTGGGAGGACTGGGAGGGTCATTGGGGAGCACAGGGGGAACGGGGGTGGGGTACAGGAGCACTAACTGGGCAAACTGGGCGTCACAGGGAGGGTACACAAGCACTAACTGGGTGAACTGGGGGGGCCCAGCGTGGATAACTGGGAGGGGCACAGAGGAAACTGGGAGAGTACACAAGCACTAACTGGGCAAACTGGGGAGGGTACAGGAGCACAAACTGGGGGCTCAAGGGGAACTGGGAGGGTGCACAAGCACTGACTGGACAAACTGGGGGGCGCAGACTGGCGAACTGGGGGCACTGGGAGCGACTGGGAGGCACAGGGCTCTGGGGGATGTCGCTCCCCGCTGAGCCCAGCGCAGGGGGGGCTGTTCCCCACAGGATGCTGTCGCGGGGCCGGCGGCTCCTGCGCTCCTGGAAATCGCTGTTCACGGGGAGGCTCCTGCTCCTCACCAACACCCTGAGCTGCGGGGCCCTCCTGGCGGCCGGAGATTCCCTGCAGCAGGAGTGGCACCGCCGCAAGCACCCCGAGAGCCAACACCAGCTGGGCAGGACTGGTGAGGGACTGGGAGTGGGGGGCAGGACGGGCTGGGTGACTCCCACTGCCAGAGTGGGATGGGATGTTGGGAAGGAATTCCTGCCTGGGAGGGTGGGGAGGGGCTGGGATGGATTTCCCAGAGAAGCTGTGGCTGCCCCATCCCTGGAAGTGTCCCAGGCCAGGTTGGAGCACCCTGGGCTAGTGGGAGGTGTCCCTGCCCGTGGCAGGGGGTGGCACTGGATGGGCTTTAAGGTCCTTCCCAACCCAAACCACTCTGGGATTCTGTGATTTATGGGACCCCCAAAAGTGGATTCAGCTCCAGGAAAGGCCCAAAGCGTGACCTCAATTCCCTCCCTGTGACGACGAGGACGAATTAATCACATATTCCTTCCCAATATCCCATCTCTCCCACCCAACCCTTGCCCCTGGCACTGCAAACCCTCCACCCCTGACCCTGGTGTTGTTCCCAGGCCGGATGTTTGCCGTGGGCTGCAGCCTGGGCCCCCTGATGCACTACTGGTACCTCTGGCTGGACTCGGCGTTCCCAGCCCGGGGCGTGCGGAGCCTCCGGACGGTGCTGAAGAAAGTTCTGATCGACCAGCTCGTGGCATCGCCCGGCCTGGGCGCCTGGTACTTCCTGGGTGCGTGGGGCACTGCGGGCTGCAGGTGGGATGAGCGGAATCCTGGGATTTCCTGAGCCGGGAGGGTGCCCCAAGGATCGCCCAGTCCGACCCCTGGCCCTGTACAGACAACCCAAAAATCCCCCCCAAACACTCCCTGAGCTCTGGCAGCCTTGGGGAGCCTATTCAGTGCCCACCACCCTCTGGGGGAAGAATTTCCCAATATCCATCCCAACCCTCTCCTGACACAGCTCCAGCTGCTCCCTGGGTCCTGTCCCTGCTCACCAGAGATCAGTGCAGCCCCTCTGCTTCCCCCTCTGTTTCCTGGAGCTCCCTCCCTCTGGATGGTGCTTCAGTGCCCTTCCCTCCCGTGCTGAGAGGGTTTTGGGGGGGGCAATTTCCACGTCTGGCACTGAGATGGCAATTCCCATCTGTGCTCCCTCTGCCCCCACAGGCATCGGCACCCTGGAGGGCCAGTCCCTGGAGGAGAGCTGGGATGAGCTCAAGGAGAAATTCTGGGAGCTTTACAAGGTGAGCCCAGCCCTGAGCTCTCCCTTTTCTCCCTGGCACGTGCCATGGATCCCGTGGGAAGCATCCAGCGGGCTCTCCTTGCTCCCCACAGGCCGACTGGTGCGTGTGGCCGGCGGCTCAGCTGCTGAACTTCCTCTTCATCCCTCCCACCTACCGCGTGGTTTACGTCAACGTGGTCACCCTGGGCTGGGACACCTACCTGTCCTACCTCAAGCACAGGGTGAGTCCCCCTGGGCTGGGACTGTCCCTGTCCCACCTCAAACACAGGGTGGGATGCTCATGTGCCCTGGGCTGGCACCTTTACCACTCTGGAGGGTGCCCAGCTCATCCCATTATCCCTGTTTTCCAGCCTAGAGCCACCCCAAGCACCAAGCAGGAGGACCAGCGCAGTGCCAAGGCATAGAGAGGTGGATGTGGGCACTTCCAGAGGCTCCTGCCTGCAGCAAATGGCCTTTTTTGGGGGGGCCTTGTGGCCACTGGGGATTGATCGACCCAAGGGGGGCCATGGCTGGAGACCAGCAAGGCCAGACCCCCCCCCAGCCACGTGCCTCTTGCTGATTAACTCATCCGCTAATTAGGATGGGTCGGGGTTGTGTTGGTAACAATCTCCTGTTTGCAGGATGACCTGTAAAGTGATTTCTTCTGGGATGTACCCCTGGAGCCGGGGTGAGGAGCTGCTGCAGCCCCCAGCAAGGGCTCTGGTGCTTTCCCTGCTGCTCCAGGCTGGATTTGTTCCCTCTCTCCAGAGCAAACTTGCTCCTCTCCAACCTCCTCCTCGGATCCACTCCAGCCACTCAGATCCTCACTAATTAATCAGGAAGGAATTCTTCCCTGTGAGGGTGGGGAGGCACAGGGTGCCCAGAGATGCAGCTGCCCCATCCCTGGAAGTGTCCAAGGCCAGACTGGAGCACCCTGGGCTAGTGGAAGGTGTCCCTGCCCGTGGCAGGGCGGGTGGCACTGGGGGAGCTTTGCCCTCGCACTCCAAAGCATTCCACGATTCATTTTGCCTGCCTGGCAGAGGGATGATGCCCCCTCTGCAGCTCCTCATTCCTTCCCCTCCTGCTTTTTGTCTTGCAGCTCAAGGATGGAATCACTCCACTCCCCCACCCTCTGCTCCTGTTCCCCCCATTCCCCCCTTTCCTTCCCTCCCCCCGGGCTGTGGGGGCTGGAGCCTCCCCGCTGGGATATAAATAGGGGTGTGATCACACCCGTCTGCTCTGCCGAGCCTGGGAGGCGGCTGGAGAAGCAGGGGCGGGGGGTTGGAGGCAAATTTTGGCAGGATTTGGACCATCCCATCCCTCTGCTACCAGCCCTGGGCAAGCTGGACACTCCCTGCATCGCCCAGGAGCTGAATGATTTCCAGAATCAATGAAAACTGCCTAAATGGGATTTTTTTTTTCCTCTTAAAGCTGTGCCTTAAGCTCTGCTCTCATCCCTCCTCGTGTCACAGCCCTGGAGGGACACGATCCCTCCTTCCCCAGCAGCAGGAGCCAGCTGGGAAAATGATAATAGATCATTTTGGCTCCTCTCTCTCTGGCAACTCAGAGGACCCACCCCCTCACTGTCCCCTGCGTGCCCACAACGACCCCCAGGGACCTGTGTGATCAGCATCGATTTATTTCGTCACGACATTTCTTTTTTAATACAGTGATTTTTAGGAAATTGTACCCTTTTTTTTTTTTTTTTCCTTTTTTTTTTTTTTTTGACACTTTTGACATTTGTACAGTACAGTGTAACTCTTCCATAAGTAAACTTCACAAAAAAGAGGACGAGGAGGGAGGAAAAGGGAGGAAGATGGAATAGAGGGGGTGGGGAAAGGGGGAAAAAAAGAAAACCCTGTGAAATCAAAGACACGGCGCTCCAAGAAAAATAAATAAAGGGCAGCTCTGTCATTGCTACGGGAATATCCACTTATTCACAGTCTCCACAGAAGCACAGTACCACAGGAACACGAGATTCCCAAACCCCTGGAGCGAACCAGCAACTCTCTGCTTGCCTCCCACCACGAGCCCATCCCTAACCTCCCTTTCCCCCCAGGGGGCTGATTCTCTCCAGGTCGCTTGGCCTCGCTGATGTACTTAAATGAATTCGGTTTTTTTCCTTTAAATCTTTTAAATAATAAGAGGTTTTGTTTTGTGTTTTTGTTTTTGTTTGTTTGTTTTTTTTAAAAGTGATATTCACAAGCAAGGTTACCACACACAAAAAAAAAAAAAAAAAAAAGAGAAATAACAACAAAAAGAGAGAAAAAAAAATCAATATATATATATATATATATAAATGCACCACCACGGCCACAGCACAGCAGGTCACAGCGTCACTTCCTACGCCTATTTACAAGGAATCTCTGTATGTACAAGGAGGAAGACGGCGGGAGCATAAATTAGCATCTATTTATACAAATAAACAAGAGTCAGGAAATATCCATCCAGCTGGAGGGGCAGGAAAAGCCGGGAACAAAAGAGCTTCATCCCCTTCCGGGAGCTCTTGGAGGGGGGGAAAGGAGGGGAGCAATGCCAGGCTGGGGAGGGAGGAAGAGAGGGAGAGGGGGTTTGGGGGTCCTGGGGAAGCAGCCACACCCTGGGGGTCTCAAGGTAGGGGGGGTGTCTCCCAGGGAAGGGGATCCCCTGGGAAAGGAGGTTCTCGGGTAAGGGAGTGGCCAGGGAAGGGGGTTCCCAGGGAACAGGGTCCCCAGGGAAGGGGCTTCTCAGGGCAGGAGGGTCTCCCAGGGCAGTGGGTCCCAGGGTCAGAGGGGTCCCCAGGACAAGGGGATCCCCCAGGGAAGGGGGTCCCGAGGGATTGGGGGTCCTCAGGGCAGGAGTTTCTCAGGGAAGGGGTGGCCTCCAGGGAAGGGAATCCCCAGGGCAGGGGGTCCCCCAGGGAAGGGAGGGTTCTCGGGGAAGGGCTGGGGGCGACAGTTCCTTGGACAGTGATTAAAAGCAGAACGAGGGGAGTTTTCTACCAGCCCAGGCTTCAAAATAAATTAAGGGGGAGGGGGGGGGCACAGCCTAATGAACTGGGGGGGCTCCTAAAGGGGCCGCAGCCCTTTCGGAGATATCAGCAGCAAATCCCCCGCGGGATCCCCAAGAGGAGGGGCTGAGGGGAGGGGGTGGAGGTTGGGGGGGGTGCACTGACCGGTTTTTGGGGGGGTTTGGAGTAGGGTGGGTGGCTGGCCCCTAGCAGGCACAGTCCTGGTGGGGAGGGGCCTGCTGGTCCGTGAGCTGGGGGCCCTGCTTGGCTCCGGTGACGGCGGGGTCGGCCGTGTCCAGCGACTCCGACATCTTCTCGCAGATGATGTCCACCAGCCGCTCGAAGGTCTGCTTCACGTTGATGTTGTCCTTGGCACTGGCCTCGAAAAACTCAAACCCTGCACCCAGGGGGAAGGCAGGGGGCACACACACATCAGGGTTCCAGCCCTGCCTCCATCCCACAACAGCTCCTCCTCCTCCTCCTCCTCCTCCTCCCCTCGTTAAATATTAATGAGCTGCCCAACCCGCAGTGTCCAACCCACCCCCACGCCGCCAGGGACGCCTCGTTCTCCTCGCCCAAAAACTCCCCCATTCCTCCCTCCCCAGCAGCTCTCAGAGGGTTTAAAGGTGGTAACAAAACCCCCGGTGCCGAGTCACCAGCCAGTGTTGAATCGCTGGGGCAATTACAGGGAGGGAATTAAGCCCTTAATTAAATTATTTGTTGGATGATGGCCGTGGTGGAGCGTCCCCCTGTGCCCGACTCACCCAGGTGCTCGGCGAGCTGGCGGCCCTTCTCCGAGGACACCACACGCTCGTCCTCCATGTCACACTTGTTCCCCACCAGCAGCACCTGGGCGTTGTCCCAGGAGTAGGTCTTGATCTGGGTGGACCTTTGGGAGAAGGAGAGGAGGGATAATAGGTGAGAGGGGGAGAGAAGGAGCTGAGCAGGGTGGTAGGGAGCTGTCTGGGAAGGTCCTGGGGGGCACTCACCAGTCCTGCACGGCGTTGAAGGACTCCTCGTTGGTGATGTCGTACATGAGGATGAAGCCCATGGCCCCGCGGTAGTAGGCGGTGGTGATGGTGCGGTACCGCTCCTGCCCGGCCGTGTCCTGGGCAGGGAGGGAGGGGACAGCAGGATGTCACCCCTGGGAGGGGCCACCGAGGTCCCTGGGGACACGTCTCTTCCCGCCATGTCACCCCCAGGGACACAGTGACACCCCTCTGGGCTTGCAAGGGGTCTCTGGGGACACGTCCCTCCCCGCCATGTCACCCCCAGGGACACAGTGACGCCCCTTGGGGCACTCTGAGTGCCACCAAGGTCCCTGGGGACATGTCCCTTCCCACCCCAGCATCACCCCTGAGGACACAAGGACACCCCTCGGGATGCTCTGGTGCCACCAAGGTCCCTGGGGACACATCCCTCCCCACCATGTCACCCCTGGGGCGGACAGTGACACCCCTTGGGGTGCTCCAGGTGCCACTGAGAGCCCTGGGGACACGTCCCTCCCCACCCTGGCATCGCCCTCAGGGCTCTCCAAAGGCCCTCCAGGTTCATGGGGACATGTCCCTCCCCACCACGTCACCCCTGGGGACACAGTGGCATCCCTTGAGGTGCTCCAGGGGTCCCTGGGGATGTGTCCCCCCCCACCATGTCCTCCCCAGCACACAGTGACACCCCTCGGGGCGCTCTGGGTGTCCCCAAGGTCCCCGAGGACACATCCCCTCCCGGTGCTTCCAGCGCCGCTCCCGGCGCTTCCAGCCCTTCCAGCCCCATAGGGCGGAGCAGCCCCAAGGCGACCACCCCTCCCAGCCCGCCGTGGGGGCCCGGGGGTCTCACCCAGATCTGCAGCTTGATGCGCTTGTCGTTCCGGTAGATGGTCTTGACCTTGAAGTCGATGCCGACGGTGCTGACGAAGGCGGGCGTGAAGGAGTCGTCGGCGTACCGGAACAGGAAGGAGGTTTTCCCGACGCTGCTGTTCCCGATGATCAGGATCTTGAACATGTAGTCGAAGTTCTGGTCCGAGGATTCCTTCTGCCCATAGCGGGAGTCGGTAGCCGATGCCATCTGCAAGGCAGGGGAGAGGCCGTTGACGGTCCAGGCCCTGCTCGGAGCAGATTCCCGACGCTGCGGGCGTGGATCTGGCGTGTTCCGGCTTGGGATGGGCCGTGGGGTGGTCTCAGTGGGTCACTCGCCCCACAGGGCTCGGACAGGGCACCTCCTGTCACCCCCAGCGAGGGGGGCCCACGGTAAATGTGGGGCACGTGGATCCCGGGGCTTCCCACAGCCCTCGGAATTGGCAGTGGTCCCCAGGAGTTGCCGTGGGTCCTGGGGTTTGCTGTGGATCCCGGGGTTTGCCAAGGCCCCCCAGGATTTGCTGTGACCCCCAGAAGGTTTGCTGTGGATCACGGGGTTTGCTGTGGCCCCCCAGAAGGTTTGCTGTGGATCCCAGGATTTGCCACGGATCATGGGGTTTGCCGTGGCCCCCAGGGATTTGCTGTGAATCCCAGGATTTGCCACGGATCCTGGGGTTTGCTGTGGCCCCCAAGGATTTGCTGTGGATCCTAGAATTTGTCACAGCCCTCGGGATTTGCTGTGGCCCCCAGGATTTGCCGTGGATGCCGGGATTTGCCGTGGCATCGGCAGGTGCGGCCGGGACGCCACTGCAGCCTCTCCTGCATCTCCCCCACAAAATGGCACCAGCGCGGTGACACGGCACGGCGAGGTGCCACACGGTGCTCGGGGGTGCCACACGGTGCCCGGGGTGCCACACGGTGCCAGGGGGTGTCACGGGGTGCCGGGGGGTGCTGATGCCAGGCAAGGGGGGGGACACACAGAGGTGGGTGCCCACCCAGGGCTGGTGCGGGGGGATGCAGGATGGAGCACAGGGATGCTGGGAAGCGCTGCGGGCTTCAAGGTGCTGATGGAGGGGGGGGGCGCCGGCTGCTACAGGGAGGGGGGTCGGGATGCTGATGGGGAGGGGATGCAGGGCGCTCACTGGGGTGCAGGGTGCTACAGGAGGGGGCTCGGGATGCTGATGGGTGGGGGCGCAGGGCGCTCATGGGGGCGCGCAGGGCGCTGCAAGGAGGGTGCAGGGTCCTATTGGGGGGCTCAGGGCGCTGACAGGGGTCGCTCAAGACGCTGCAGGAAGGCGCGCCCACCCCTGCCCGACCCCTGCACCCATTCGGTCCCCGCCGCACCCCCTGCGCCCTCCCACGGGGACCCTGCGCAGCCCCCGCCCCGCGCCGCATCCATCACCATCATCACCACCATCATCATCATCACCATCACCCCCCACCCTCCGCCCCCCGCCCGCCGCCTTCCCCCGCCGCAGCCGCCCCTCCCTGCCGGCTGCCGGGCGAACCCCTGGGTGCGGGGGTGGGGGAGTGCCGGGAGTGCCGGGGGCCCGGGGGTCCCGGTGATGGGGTGGGGGTCTCACCTCTGCCGCGCTTGCTCCTCCCGCAGCGACTGCAGCAGATGCGGACCCCGGGTGACGTCGGCAGAAGGGGCGTGGCCCTCTATGCAAATGAGCCTCGCGTCACGGGCGCGCCCCGGAGCGCGGCGCTGATTGGCCCGGCGGCGCGCGGTGATGGACAGCGGGGAGGCGGAGGGGGGGGGGCAGCCCCCCCCTCCCGGCGCTGTGTTGGGCGCCGCGGCCCCCCTCGGCCGCGCGTGGTGGTGCGGTCCGGCCGCGCGCTGTGAGGCGCGGGGGGAACCACGCGCCGCGCGGGCGGGGGGAGCGGAGCGGACCATTCCCGCTCACGGGGGTAGGGAAGAGGTCTCACAGCCTCGCTGTCGCGACATGGCTCCCTATATCGCGACGCCTGCCCTAAGCGTGGCAGTGGCGATCGGGCTGCTCTTTACCCTGGCGGGGCGCCTGGCGCTGAGGCGGGGCTGGTGCGCAGGTGGGCGGCCATGTCCTCCCTCGCCCTCAGGTTCCAGCGGGGATTAGGGCAGGCAGCATATGGCGGCCCCGGCACCGCCCTGCCCGGGCCTGCCCTGCCCTGCCCGGGGCCCCGGGACCCTCCTGGGCCCTGCCCTGCCCTGCCCGGAGCCTTCTGGGCACTGCCCTGCCCTGCCCTGCCCGGGGGGTCTCAATGGCCGCTGTCCCTGTGCAGCCCCACAGAGATCTATCCAGGACCCGGAGCCCCGGGGGGACAGAACCGGACACCTCCCGGACACCCCCCGGGCTCTGCCGGGCACGGTGGGTGCTGTCCAGGTGGGCAGTGAGAGCCCACAGTGAGGAGACAGCAACAGCTCCCAGCGACAACAGCATGGCCGGGAGGCAGGGATGGATCCGGGCGCAGGGATGGATCCAGGCTTAGGGATGGATCCAGTCATAGGGATGGATCCAGTTATAGGGATGGATCCAGTTATAGGGATGGATCCAGCCACAGGGATGGACCATGAGTGCTGCCCCCCACCTTCCCCTCCTCGTCCATGGATTCTGCAGCCCCTCAGCCACAGCTCGGGATGAAAAGGGCTTTTTATCCCACCAGCTCCTGCCCTGCAGAGTCTGGGACAGACCTGGGTTCGAGGAGTTCTGGGGGCACAGAACCCCAGCTGGCCCCTCTCAGCACAGCCCCTCTCCCCCAGGAGAGGCAGGAGGACACCCAGCACCCACCAGGGACGACCACCCCGTGAGGCTCCGGCGCTCCCAGCCCATCCCTGGAATCCACCTGGGCTGGCAAAGGCTCATCCAGCTCCCAAGGCCCTGCTGCTGCCACGGGGAGGGCGTGGGGCGGGCAGGGGGCGAGAGCCTCGGGGGGCTCCCACGTGCCAGGGCAGTGGCAGGGCAGTGCCAGGGGTGGGGACGTGTTTGCGGAGATAAATCACCCTTGGGAGCAATGCGGAAGAGCCGGGAACGGGCCCCGCGCCGCGCCAAGCCGGCGATTAAATATTTACCTTAGCAGGCCGTGGTTGCCAGTGATGGATCTCGGCGTTTCCAGGGAGGAGCTCCTTTTGTTCCAGGCCCTCCCCGGTGCCCGCCGGGGCCACCAACCACGCCGGTCCCTGGGGACATTGGCATGGCTCCCGTGACACCGGTAAAAGGCACTTCCAAGGCAAAGAGGCACTTACGAGGCTCGTGTTTAGGGTGCAACAAACCGGGTTTAATCTCTGGAAAGGTGAAGGAAAATCCAAAAGGATCCTGGGGCGCCGCCCCCGGGCAGGATGCTGGAGACACAGGGGTGGGGGAGGTCACAGCACCCGCCGGGGCCCGTAGTGTGAATTAAAAACGCAGCATTTTCAGTGATCACGGAACAGAAACGTGACCTTTCGCGCCGAAAATGAGTCCTTCCGCCCCAAATGTCCACGTGAGTGCGGCCTCGGAGAGGCTCGGAGTAAAAAGTGAGCTACAAAAGGCTTTAAAAAGTGAACCTGTCCCCAAATAAATAAACCCCTGACTCGTGCCCGTGCCGTGCGCTGGTGCCTGGGGGTCCCTCGTGCTGGGGGTGTCACCAGCACCTTTCACCCACCTCCCCGTCCCACTGTGGGGCTGCTGTCCTGTGAGGAGCCACCTGGAAAGGTGCTGGAATGGTTCTGGCTGCGCCCCAGCCCTGTGGGGGACCCCTTCCTGGAGCCCTGTGGGGCGTGACATCCCCAGGGCTGGGCTGGGGCTGGAGCACAGTGTCCCCAAGCCTTGTCTGAAGGGGACAGGGACCTTTCCCAGCATCTGGTGGGAGATGGGAGAGGGCGAGCAGCGCCCTCATGTCCATCAGGACCTGCCCAGATCCCGCATGGGGACACGATCTGGGTCCTTCCACGCCCTGTGTGGTGCCACTGCCAGCTCCCCGCTGTCCCCAGCACCGACCAGGGCAGTGCCCAGTCCCACGTCCCCGTGGCAGTGAGGGGACCCCCCGGCCGGTGCTGCTACGTGCCCAGGGACAGGAATGTGACGTTGCCCTCCGTGTCCAGGCACAGCCCTTGGCTGTCCTCGGGCCCTGGCACGGAGCACCCGCCGCCACCGTCCTTGGGCAGCGTCCCCTCCAGTGCCTGCCGGTTGTCCACGTCCCTGGGGCGGGGCACGGGCGAGTCCCCGGGGCCGGGGGACAAATGCTTGGTGTCAGCCGACTCCGAGTCGTCCGTGCCCGGTGTCTTGGAGCCGCTGTTGTCCTCGTCCAGGGGGCTCTCCGGCCCCTCCAGCTCCGTGTCTGACTCACCCTCCTCCTCCTCCTCCTCCTCCTCCAGGGTCAGCTCGAACTGGAACTTGTCGGTGTTGGCGGGGGATGCGCCGGGTCCCTCGGGCGGAGGGGATGGGCTGCGAGGGATCATGCTCTGGTACCACTCCCGGTTGTCCTCCAGCGTGTCCAGGAGCTCCTGGGCGTCGGGGTGCACCAGGTCGGCCCACGTCTCCCACAGCGGGTGGGCGATGAAGTCAATGAAGCCCACCTGGGAAGGAAAGGGGTGAGGGGCAGAGCTGAGCCCCCGGCCCAGCCCTGCACCCCCCCACCCCATCCCCAGGCCACCGCCCCACCTGGGACTTCTCCACGGAGGCGGTGTGCTTGTCGCACATGGGGCTGATCTCCATGCCCTTCTCCCGTTCCCGGTCTCCCTGGTGGAAGAACTCCACCATGATGCGGTCAGTCCACTGCCGGTACAGCTCCAGGGGCTTCGTGGGGTTGCTGAGGTCGGCGCAGTGCACCATGTTCTGCAGGACCTGTGGGCACAGCCACCGTGTCCTTTGTCCCCTGGGACCACCCCCACGCTGTGCCAGGAACCCTTGGCCAGGGCCAGCCGTGTTTGGGAGTCAGCAGGCAGGATGTCCCAGCCGCCCAGAGCAGTGCCGGTGTCCGCAGTGCCAGGAAGGATTCCCAGCCGTGTCCCCGTGCCCACCTGGATCCGGTCAGAGTAGTTGTCCAGCAGCAGCACCCCCAGGCTGGTCACCTTCTTGGTCTCCACCATGGTTTTCAGATCAGCCAGCAGGTTCATGTGCTTGGACATGTCCGTGGCCAACACCTGGGCATGGCAAGCCGGGAATGGGGCTCAGTCTGACCCCCTCAGCCCAGACCCCCACCCCAGGGTGGTCCAGCTCCCCCTCCATACCATGTCGATGACCATTTTTCGGAGGGTCTGCCTCTGCTTCCTGCTCAGGTTCTGGAAGATGTCGCAGTTCTCCTCCTGGAGGAGCTTGAAGCCCACGGCCAGGTGGTGGTTCTCCAGCACCGAGGCGTCGTTGTACATCAGCGCCAGCTCCGAGTCTGCCAGAGGGCACCAGTCACCCTGGGGGGGCTCCTGGGCGGGGTCCCCCACACCCCCCCTAAGCTCTATCCCTGCTCCCCAGCTCACTGGTGTTGATGAGGAACTGGTTGGAGACGCCGGGGTGGTCAACATCGTGGATGGCGCCGGCGAAGATGGCAGCCATGATCTCCAGGTCCGTGAAGACAGCCTGGGAACGGTGGGAGAAGGAGTTGCTGGTGCGTTACAACCCTGCCAGACACACCTGGTGTGCCACCTCCGTGGCCTCAGGAGACCAGGGAAATCACCTCCAGGGCAGGCGTGGAGAGGAGGACGTGGGTGGACTGCGCCACGTCGGCGGCGTGGAGGTTGTTGTGATAGGCCACGTCGGCGTGGTAATGGTCCTCCAGCGTCAGCATGTAGGTGATGAAGGTGTTGACGGGGATGCGGAAGGTCTTCATCAGGTCACGCTCCTGCAGGGGGCGGGAGGTGGCTCGTCCCCGTCTGGGCAGGGGGACAGGGACGATCCGCTGGGATACTCACCTGGAAGATGCTGTACATGATGACGGTCAGCGGGCGGTTCCCCGAGTACTCGGCGACTTTAAACACGTTGAGCCCCCACTTGTTGGTGTCCTCCAGCTCCTGGGGACCAGAGGGACGGAGGTCCATGGGGGGCTGGCGCCAGGGACCCTGTGGTTGGGCGGGTCACCCGTGCCAAGCCCACCTTGGCCAGCAGCCCCTCGTGGTCCGTGCGCACCCCGAAGCGGGGGATGCCGGCGGCGGCGAGGCTGGAGCCGTGCGTGAGCTTCCTGACGCCGCTGATCTGGGACATGGGGCGCTTCCTCCGCTCCTTCTCCTTGTCCTTGGCCAGCGCCGAGGGGATCTCCACCTCGTGCTGCTTGTCTGGGGTGGCACCGGGGGGCGTGAGCAGGGTGGGAGCCCAAATTCCCCCCTAACATCCCAATGATGTGGCACAAGTAACACCGTGATGTCATGACAATTTGGGGGCTGCATGGGGGGTGCCCAGCACTTCCCATCACTGCCCTGCACTGGGGATCCAAACCCTGCCCAGGACACCCTTCCAGGCCCACAGGGATTTACCCAACAGCCCCAGTGCACCAGTATACACCAGTATGCACCAGCACACCCAGCCAGGACAAAGCAGCAAATCCCACCAGGACACCTGGGAAAGTCCCCCCCCTTTTCCCTCCATTTCATCCCTCCACAAGAAGCAAGCGGGCACAGAGCAGAGAGGTGACCCCGGTGGTGTCCCTGGGGTGGGGGATCCTCACCCAGGAAGGTGCTGGAGATGTACTCGGAGACCTGGTTCCCGGAGCGGCTT